AAAGATATTTTTAAGAGATACACTTATGCTGATTATTGAAACAATGGAGTCTCCAGAGAATTAAAAATTCCCCTGGAATCTCATGCTGGGAGAAGGGAAAGGCTGAGGCCTGGTGCCAGGCAGAGGAGGAACCTGCCTCCCAGGAAGAGATTTCACAAAGTTCTAGCTATCAGAGGACCTTACAGGATAGAATGGAGCCCAGACAATAATGTGTCAATGTTGGGCAGAACCAAACCTTGATTAGGATTGCTCAGTTCTGTATATCTCTAGCCTTCTAGTTAAACCATAACCTCACATCAGTACCCCAAAGACAAACTTGGGGTCACTGGACCTCTTTATTTACTCCTCTTTTCAACGTGACTCCATTGACTAAAGCTCTTTTTTTGCCTTTCACTATTACTTGTCTTGAACTGGCATATTGGAAGATAGCTGGAACTGACAGAGCCCAGGCTTTGACCTTAAAATCTCCAGTAGCATACACACAAAATGTTTTAAATATGTAGAATGTTATGGTGAAAGAAAATTTAATTTTAATTTACGTGCATTTTTTTTTTCTTGGAGAGAAATATGTCAACAAAGCAGGCATGGTAGCACATGCTTGGAGTCCTAGCACTTAGGAGGTGAAGGAAGAAGGATCGGATGTTCAAGGTCATCCTCAGCTCCACAGTGACAGCTAGACTGGGATACACAAGACTCTGTCTTTTTACAAAAAAGTGTATCATCTGGGTGTGTACATTGGTGCACATTGTGGGCTGAGGCAGAGGGGTATCTGTAACTTCGAGGCTAGTTTGGTCTACATAGCGAATTGCAGGCCAGTCAAGACTACATAGTGAGATTGTTTCTCAAAAAAAGAAAAAAGAAAAAAGAAAGAAACAAAACAACCCCCCCAAAAGAACCTCACAACCCCCCCAAAGTATTTCAAAACCAAGGAAGAGCATGGGGTGCATGCCTTTAATCCCAGCACTTGGGAGGCTGGGGCTGGTGGATCTCTAGAGGCCAGCCTGCTTTACATAGCAAGTTCCAGGCCAGCCGGGGCTACAGGGTGACTCTGTCTCAAAACACCAAAAATCAAACAAACAAAATGATCAAAACCAGGCTTATATGCATACAATATGTTACATTAGCACAAACTTCTGTGGCAGAAGTAAATGAAGATATGAGTTTAAAGTGAAAAAAGAATAATGTAAAATGTTCAACTGTTAAAGAAGTTAATCACCTATACTTAAGTACCGGTAGGTATGAGCTATGTTATTTAGATTCACATGGATAGACTCAATACAGTGATATAAACATTTTACTTTAGAATGCCAATATTTACAACAGATCAAAAATTCCTTTTGTAACTGTTTGAAAATGAAGGAAAAACATAGATATCAATTTATAATATATAGGGAAGGGTATGTAGGTTGCCAAATTTATTTTAGGAAGCATGTGAGCAAAAATGCTTGAAGACACATGAGTTTATAACTTGCCCTGGACCATACAACCAACAGGAGGCCAGGCTTACACTTGAACCCATGACTGCAAAGGTCTTTCAACTACACCTGAAAGAGCCATAAGTCTATGGATGTTAGTCTTGATTATCAATTCTATTCATTTTTGAAATAAATTGTTTGGTTGTTCAAAATGAGCAAGGCCTTGTTGTTAATACCAATAGGTAAATACTAATGAGTGAGATACGGTGCTCACTTTCAAAGATCTAGAAACCTTATAAAAGAGATAAGCAGACTTTTCATCTTTACATACAATTAAGGTAATAAGAAGAGACTTTGATGAAAGCTTCTATGGAAAAAAAGGAGAGATTATTTTTTTATTCCATCATCAGACAAGAGTTTCAGTAGGTTTGATATCAAGTAGACAAGTCTTTGTAAAATGTGTAATTTAGACTAAGGATTGAGAGATCAGAAGAATTCATTTGTCCACACATCTACCCACCCATCAATTCACTAAATACAGTCTTATTAAAAACAGAGTAATAAATACAATAAACGCTTTTAAAATACCCTGTTTGGGGGCTGGAGAAGATGGTTCAGTGGTTCATATGTTAAGGGCACTTGCTGCTTTTGCAGAGGACTGAGATTTGGTTACCAGCATGCATTTGGTGGCTTACAACTGCTCCTAACTCCAGTTCCAGAGGATCTGTCACCCTCTTCTGATCTCTGTGGGGCACTGCATGCACATGACACACATACATGTAGGCAAAACCACTCATACACATAAAATAAAAAAGAAATTTAAAGAGAAAGGGCTGTCCTTGGGCATAGACTGGGGTCTGTGAGGTGATGTGAGAGGTGGGGCAGGGTAACTTATAGCTACTGGGAGCATGGTGAACGTACACAGAAGGAAGGAAGGAAGAACAGGAAGTGGGAAAGAAAGAAGCGGGAACAAAGGAGTGAAGCAGAGAGGTGGTAAGAGGGATGAAAGAGGAAAGGAAAGGAGGAGGAAAGGGGAGGGATGGGACAATTGATAGTGACTAAAAACCTGAAGGTTCCCTAAGAGAGGGTCTGTAACTGTCCTGGCAGGAGAAGAGAGATTCTCAAGAGAGACACTTGTGTCCCTCCCTTTGGCTATTTGACTATTGAAACATTACAAATTTTCTCAGGAATCTCAAACTGGGAGAAGGGAAAGGCTGAAGCCTGGTGCCAGCCAGAGGAGGAACCTGTCTCTCAGAAATTTCACATAGTTCTGACAATTCATCAGAAGACCTTGCAGGACAGCCTGGAACCCACATAACAATGTGTCAAGGATGGGTGGAATCACATCGTAACCAGTACTGCTTAGTTATGCATATTTCTTGCTCTCTGTTAAAACCTAATCCTCTTGTTAGTACCCTGTAGAGGGATTCCGGTATCACTAGATCTCTTTATAGTTGCTACATTGAGTAAATCTCCTTTCTCTGCTTTCCACTATGATTTTGTCTTTAATTGATGTATTGGGGGAAAGGTGGTGGAGTCTATCTTGTTGGGACTGCCAAAGCCCAGTCTTTGACCCTAAAAACTGCAGTAACAAGTCTTCTGTCCATAGCCTTCCATTGTGGGTACCTCTTGGCCATTTTTTTTGGGGGGGGAGGCTAAGTTCAGAGCAGGTATTCAAGGGAGCTGCCTGTAGTGTAGCTGATTGCTCAAGGCCTTCCCATATTGGTCTGGTGTAGATTCAAGTCTCTTCTTAGGCAATGTGTAGTGTGACTTCCTTAGCTAATCTAAAAAGAACAAACTTCACTATTTTGAGGGTTCAGAATGGGTAGAGAAGGACTAGGCTCTGGGGAGCAAGGGAGGGATGGGAACTTTGCAAATGCTTAGGGTATTGGTTCTCTAGTAAAGAAGGCCACCACCCGGTTTGTGAATCATGGGGAAAATAGCAATTCTTAAACTGTTGACTTAATTTAAAAACATAGCTGCCCCACCTATGACCAGCATTAGCTTTCACATAGAGGGCCAATTCAGCCCTCATTTCATACCAGGCCTTGGTACTCTTTTATGACCTTTCTCTTGCCTCACCAGACATTCTCTACTGACTGTTCCAAAAGTGTTTACCCAGCACCTTTCGAATTCACAAGAGAAAAGGAACTGTCCCTTGATCCTATTCAACTCTCCAGTTTCTATCCCTTTCTGTTCCCCTTTACAAGCAAATATTTCAAAACAGGTGTCTCTGCTTCAACCGTAATTCCCTCTTCAACCCTTTTCTGTCAAATCCAAGTTCCTGCCACTGGCACCTTGGGATCCTTCTGGCCTCATTCCACCTGCTCCCTCTATCTCGAAAAAGCTTTTTCCTGGTTCTTTATACGGTACGTATTTCAGGTCTTTGGGGGCTTCGATTAAATGCCACCTTCTTTCTTACCCACATTATTTGCACCCCCTTATCCTGCACAGTTTTACCAAAGTGTGATTATTTTCTCACTTGTTTACTGTGTCTCCCCCACTAGATCACAAGCTCCCAAGAGAAAACAGACCTTGCGTGCACAAGTGCGTCATAGCACTTGGCACAGTGCTTGGCACACGGCGCCGGCTCCGTGAACCGAACGTTGAGTGAATGAATGGGTAGCTAGCTACGGTACGCGCTGCCTTGAGTGCTTTCGGAGTGATGTAAAGCCCTCTAGATGATGGCACTAGGCTACCGGTTGGGGCCCTTTCCGCTCCATTCAGCTTGTTACTAAGGGGAGGGAGGAGAGGTCTTGGTGGTCTGCTGGCGCCGCAGGGAACCAAGAGTTCTCCTGTCGCAGGCTGTAAGAGGGTGCGTCGTGCGAGGGGCGCGGGTCAGTGAGGCCCCTGGGGAGGCGAGAGGCCACCTCTGCCACCTTCGCCTCCCCTCTTTGTTGCTCCCACCACCCCGGCCCTGGCCGCGGCTGCCTGCAGTGACTCGTGACTCCCCGGCAGCCAGCGAAGGCCTGCAGCACGAGACAGGGGGCAGCGGCCCGAAGCCGGCCAGCGCTCACTCTTCGGATGCTCGCGGGTGCCAGAGGAAGCCGCGCCACCGCCGGCGCGCGGCCCCCTCCCGCGCGCACCCGAGCACGCCCTGCAGGCAGCCGAGCTTCTCCCGAGGCGGGGCC